ACCTTCCTCGTTACCACCCCCCCCAATCTCTTTGGTCTCCACTACCCTTTGCAGGCTGGTGAGATGACAGGGGGGTGTGGGAGTGGGTAAGGGTGGCTTTAACATGATGAGAAGGACCCGTCAGAGCAGGAATTGCTGGGAAAAATACCCCTCCCAGTTCCCTGTGGAGCTGGGGGACCATCTGGACCCCCCCAAGATGAACATGCGATGGAGGATCCAGTCCTCCCTACAGCTGGCGGAGCAATGCCCAGGCAGGGCCTCCCCGGAAAAACTCACCGAGCCGTGAGACATGCGCCTTTTTTTCCTTGTTGCCGTCACCAGCCACATGACAGGAGAAGCAGGAAGTGCCAGAGGCTCCCTCCTTCCTCGTTGCAGCATCCTCACCGCAGCTTGCAGTCCCCACCGTCAAGGGGCTGGAGGCCGGGGATCACCCTGGGGGCATCTCCCACCTCCAAGGAAGTACGAAGCGAAGGGCAGCTGCGGGGTCGTAGCGTTATCTCCCAGCTCCCAGAGGGTCTCTGGGAGGATGTGAAGCCCTCAGCCCCATAGAGACCCCACCAAGGAAACCCGTCGAAGGATTTGATTTTTTCTAGCAAGCATCCTCCAGGATAACAGCAGGAGTGGTCAGGTCTTCTCCGGCATCTCTCCCATTGCACTTCGGACAGGGAGGTTTGCTGGGCAGGGATATTGGACTGGGACAGGGCCAAGCACAAGCCATGGTGACCCCAGAGGTGGCTGCGATGGCAGTGGGAACCCGGGCTTAGAGGGCTCTGAGTGCTGGCAGCAGGGTCCCCTACAAGACACCATGTTCAGCCGGTCAGGATACCAGGCCCTTCCCTTGGGAGACTTTGACCGCTTCCAGCAGTCCAGCATCAGGCTCTACAGTGCCCAGAAAGGCTTCTTCTCCTTCGGGTCCAAGGAAGATCCTCTGGGGCTGGCTGGGAATGCTGCAGGTGAGTCCCAACGTCAATGGGGACACGCTGCCGTCCCCTCTGTTGCCACTTGTGTGGTAGGGTGGGTGCCCCCCGTGCTGCCGGCTTCCCTGGGGTGCAGGGTGCATGGGAGGGAAGAGGCTTGGATGGGGGTCCGCAAGCAGGGAATGGGGCTTTGAAGCAGGTACATCTCCTGTTTCACCCCCCTGCAGACTCCTCCCAGGGTTGGTTGTCCTGGATCTGCCATGGGATTATCACCTCCTTGGTCTTCTTGTTGATGGTTGTCACCTTTCCTATCTCAGGATGGTTTGCCTTGAAGGTAAGCAGGTGAGGAGTGGTATGGAAACCCACCCTCCATGGGGGGTACCATTCCTTGGTCCCCCTGGTCCCATTGATCCTGGCAACATAGGACCCAGGGTTTTGCTTCTGCTCTGGTCCAAACTTTCCCATTCCAGATCGTGCCCACCTATGAGCGAATTATCATCTTCCGCCTGGGCCGCATCCAGGTGCCACGGGGACCCGGTGTGGTCCTGCTACTTCCCTTCATCGATCACTGGCAGCGTGTGGATCTGAGGACCAGGGCCTTCAATGTGCCCCCCTGCAAGGTGAGCTGCCCCGGGCCTTGGAGTAGGACAGGGAGATATCTCTAAAATAGCCAGAGGTGGATTTTGGGACGGTCTGACCCTTAATGCCATGCATGGACACAATTTTCAGTTTTTCCATTCTCATGGCGTGGTGAGGGGGGGTTGTAGCTGGTGCTGTGAACCCGAAGTCCTCACCTGCCTGTGGTTGAAAAGCTCCTTCTGACTGTGCATACTTTGTTCAATGCACATTCCTGGCTGGAAACATCTCAAAAACATCAATCCCTATCTTTCCCAGATGTCTCTCAATAACAGCCCCATGCTGGAAACTATCCTCACCATTCAGACTAGCCCGAACTTCATCAGTTAGGTTGGTTTTGTTTCTAATAAACCTCTTAATAAAGACATCTGGAGCTGGTTGCCACCTGGGAAAGAAGTGAAAGCTTTTGCTCCCAGGGTCTACACACAAGGGTTGGATCATGGGGTGGAGAGGGGGAGACATCCTGACTCCCCTCTGCCCCAGCTGACCTCCAAGGATGGGGCGATCATTTCCATGGGTGCTGATGTCCAGTTCCGGGTGTGGGACCCTGTGTTGTCCGTCATGATGGTGAAGGACCTCATCACAGCCACCCGGATGACGGCACAGAACGCCATGACCAAGACCTTGATGAAGAGGAGCCTCCACGAGATCCAGGTGGAGAAGCTGAAGATTGGGGAGCAACTGCTGGTGAGGACTGCCCTAACCCCACAGAGCCTTCCAGACCCCCTAAACCCTTGGGTTCTTGGTGTGGAGGTAACAATAAGGGAAAGCTGTAGCTGCTGAAGGTCCATCTGACCATGGACCTGGCCAAGGAAGGGAGCTAGGAAGACGTGGTGATTAGTGGGGAGCAGATACCTTCAGGCTGTGGCTGTCTGGAGCTATGTGACTTATCTTGAAGGGCTTTGGCCACACAGGCTTAGATTTGACCTCCGTATCTCCACTAGGAAAATGTCTGGAGGGGGCTGCAGACTGGGGCAGAAGAGCAATTAGGGAGCTGGGTTGGATGTGGGAGTGGCCAGCTTGGAGGAGGTGGGCTGTTGAGCCTGGCCCAACACCCCACATCTAAAGCTGGTGGGTAGCAGAAGTACAAGGTATGGGAATGCCCAGGGTTGGGGGTGCTGTGGTAGGTGGTCTCCACGGCCATACCCACCTCTCCCATTCTTCCTGGCTCTGCAGCTGGAGATTAACAACATGACCAAGTCCTGGGGCCTGGAGGTGGATCGGGTGGAGCTGATCATGGAAGCTGTGCTGCAACCACCAAAGGAGAATCTGGTGGGCCCTCTGGCCACTGTGCCACCTGTCCCTGGGCTGGAGGGGCTGGATGGCACCATTCAGCAGCTGGCTGCCCATTTCTTCAGCGACACCCTGGCTCTGGCAGGCAACAGGACCAGCGCTGCAGAGGCAGGTAACCAACCCCCAGCCACCACTTGCCCAATGACCCTTGTATCTGTTGGCTGTTTGACAGAGGATTCAAAGTCTGGGAGATACCACGCTTCCACAGACACAGCACAGACAGGGGGGAGGAGAGAGAACCGCTTCCAGCACAGCTCCATACGGCATGTGACACCACACAACCTTTCTAATAAGACATTAGAGATGGGACTAGGGGAGGGCAGGAGCAGATCTGCAGGAGTCTGGGCTCAAGACCAATGCAGACCTCAGCATTTCCATCAGCAAACATAGGGAAGGGCCTGAGCTTGCCTAAAATCACATCTGAGGGCAACATGGATTTTTTTTTTCCCCCAGAAAGCTGCACCAATTTGTGCCCTGCTACTGCTACTTCTTTCAGGGATAATTTTCCATCACCAGGTAGGAGGGAAAGATGAACCCAAGACAGACAGAGGAACATGCAGTAGGAACTGGCAAAACCATGTTGTCATTTTCTTGCTTAGTTGGAAACTTGCTGGATAAGTGGGTTTGTCTGCTCCAGAGACCTTTGTTGTGGGGTCCAGCACCACTCAAAGGTGTCCCCTCAGCACACTCCTGTCCCTTTGTCCCCAGCAGAGAGTGTTGAGATGGTGAATGAGGTAGAGCCTCCCACCGCTTTGCTCCTCACTGCCACCGGCAGCGCCCGGAGGAAGCCCAGCGCGGACGAGCTGTTCTCGGCAGTGGAGCCTGTCCTCTCCGAGGCCTTGGTGGGCCAGGTGGGAGCATCCTACCAGGTCAACATCGCCCTGCCCAGCGGCGCCTGGAGCACCTACTTCATAGACCTCTCCTCAGGTCACCACTCTCTGGAGTTGTTGTGTTGGATGTGGGAGGGTGTTTCACACCCATGGCCCCTTTGCATGCTGTGAACCCCACAAAGTTTGGTGGTAGTGGGTCCCAAACCAACTCCGTTTGGTAGCTCCATGAAAGGCACCCCAGGGTCCATTAACTGAGCACTGCAGTTTGGTGACTGTGACCTTGAGTCCATGCTCCCTGGAAGTCCAAAATATAATTTGGTTTTGGTTAAAGCCAGGAATATTCCATCAGAAAGAGAGTGTTGATAGAAAACTGGCAGCCAGGTCTCCTTGTGGCTGGCCAAGTGGGATGGCTCAGGGATCTCAGGGTTTGTTGTCTCTTCTGTGCCACTGGTCCAATGGGGTGGTGATGGAGGGACATGCAAGGGCAGCACCTTGGGCCACTGCCATGCTGGAAGATGTCCTCCCAGCAACATAATCCATTCTTGCTATGGGTGCTGATGGTTTTCCTGGTGTTCACGTGTGCTGGTTTTGGCTGGGATAGAGTTAATTTTCTTCATAGCAGCTGCTGTGGGGCTGTGTTTTGGATTTGTGCTGATAGTGGTGTTGATAACACAAGGATGCTTTCCTTATGGCTGAGCAGTGCTTACACAGAGTCAAAGCCTTTCCTGCTTCTCCACCCCCCCCCACAGCAAGTAGGCTGGGGGTGCACAAGAAGCTGGGAAGGGACACAGCCAGGACAGCTGACCCCAATGACCAAAGGGATATTCCAGACCATAGGATGCCATGTTTGGCAATAAAAAGCTGGGGGAAGGAGGAGGAAGGCGGAGATCTTTGGAGTGATGGCATCATACCAGCTACTATGGAGAAAATGAACTCTATCCTGGCCAAAACCAGCACATCATGGCAAAATTAGGACAAGGCTTGTAGGTGGACCACTATAACAGGACATTTGTGGAGGACCACAATAGAAATTTATCTCCATAAGGACTCCTGTCTCCAGAATCCCCCTGCCAGGCCCTTGTCTGTCATCTGGCCCAACTCAATCATCAAATCATTAAGGCTGAAAAAGACCTCTCTAAGATCATCAAATCCTGCTGACAACCTGACACCTCCATGGCCACTAAACCATGTCCCAAAGAGCCACATCTAGATTATGAAATGGTGAGGGGGAACACCAGCAGGCAAAGCTGGATCCTGAAACCTGCTGTTTCTCCTTCTCCCACCCATCGTGTCCTACAGGCAGCGGACGGGCTGGCTGTGGCATGCCCGACGGTAGCCCCGATGTCATTCTGGAGGTAGCAGAGAAGGACCTGCAGGACCTCTTCTTGGGTGACTTGCGTCCCTTGAGTGCCTACATGAGCGGGAGGCTGCAGGTGAAGGGTGACCTCCACCTTGCCCTGAAGCTGGAGGAGCTCGTCAAGGCAATGAAGCAACATAGATAGAGCATGCGTGTGGGTGCGTGTCTGTGTGCATGTGTCTTTGTAGGTGTGTGAAAGGGGAGGGGACATGTAGGGGCGCAGTGGGGGCCTGGCCCTGCTAGAGCTCCTGCTGCTCTCCCCAGTTGAGTGAAGACCTGAGCAGGGAAACTGAGGCTGAGCTCCATTGCCTGTCCTTGTCCTTGGCTTTCCCTCTCCAGCCCATCCTTTGCCTACAATGTTACAGGGTGGGAACCAGTTTTCACCGCAGCATGTGCCAGTGTGCTTCTAGGTCCCTTGGCCAATAGGCTATCAGGGCACAGATCAATGTCCTGGTGCCCTCATGGCCAGGCATCTTGGACTGGCAGGGGCATGAGCTGAACAGGTTGGATGGAGAAGACCTTGGGGACACTGTGGCCAAGTAGTCATGGGATGGGGTGGGCAGCTGAAGCAGGGTATGAGGGCTGGCTGGACCAGACTGGGATGCCACCAGCATGCCAGACTTGGAGTGATGGATACTGCACCCCGATGTTTCTGGGGAAGGAGCAGAGGTATTTTGGGGAATGACCTGCCTTGGAGGTATCCGAGCCGTCCCAACATAGCAGTTTGTAATAAGTGATTGCGCTAATTTGTGCTTCAAAGTGCTTTTGCATGTGTGCTAAGAGGCTGGCCTGCAGGGGTGCGTGGACTGTATAAAGACGTATTTAGATATTTACTTATTTTGTAAGCTTCCTTTCTATTACCTCTCCGTGGACAATAAACCCAGCCTGCAGCCTTGTGCTCGGGCAGTGATGAGCTGATGGCTTCTACTGGCACACAGGGCTGCACCCCTCCATGCCTCAGTTTCCCTGAAGGTACCCAAGGTGCTGTGTAAAGAGGCCACGTGCTGGCCAGGGCATGGAGAGGCTGCATGGTGGGGCTCCATCTCACAATATGGTCGTGATGGACACCTGAAGGTCACAAAGGAAGAGTTCTCAGGATGCGGCATGGCCTCTCCAGGGATGTTCAGATCCCCAACAACACCTCAGAGTTGAATCTTTTGCTGGACCACTGGGACAAGGCTGACTGGTCTTCCCGGCCTGGCCTATCCATGCAAGGGGCTGCTTCCCAGGGGGGGACAGGGAGAAATAAAATATTTCCAGAATTGAAGTGGTTTGAATTTAAATATTTCATGGGTGCATTTGGGCCAAACCTCATGCTAAATGTCTTCTTCAAGACCTGAGGCTGGGTGGCACCAGCCTGGGCCAAGCTTTGGAGACTCTACAAGCATCAAATGCCCTGAGGGGTGGCAACAGTAGAGCCCTACCATGCCCTTTCCTTTTGGGGCTGCCAAGCTGGGTGAACCCCAACTTCTCCTGGTGGTCTCTAATCTCTGGTGGTTCCCCTTTTTTCTGTGGTAGTCTCCCTTCTCGTCGTGGTCCCCATGGTGCAGATGGCTGGTGGGTACCGATGCTCTGCTGGAAAGGGCAAAGGAAACCCAGGACGCAGTCCCCTTCAGTCCAAACAGGGATGTGGAAATGGTCTCCAAGGAATTGGAGATGCATAATCCCTGAGTCCCCTCTCAGCACGACACTGAGACCCTACTGTACATCCCCTGGTGGATGCTGCTTCTTGGAGGGCCTTCTTGGGGTCCCCCCCCGGGTTTCTTCCTTCCTGAGTGGCCGGGAAGGGCTGGGCTGGGCAGGGTTTTGTGGAGTTCCCCGCCCCCTCCCCGCCACGAAGGAGGAGTTATTCGCCGCTGAGAAGAAATCGAAACTGCAGGCAGGCGGAAGGGCGCTG